CTTAAGAGGAAACAATTAAAGAGAATTCATATGTATTCATAAAGAGAATTCATATTTATTCATATCTAACTAGTGTCCATATGACATAAACAACACAAACATGTGAATGCAAAAATAAAACATGTGCTATATCCTTGCAAGCAGCACAAATTTCTCAACAATGAAGATAGAGTACTAACCTTAAAATGCCTCAATTCAAACCGAGGACCGATCTCCTTAAGCTCAATTCAAGGCCAACTTCACCTTAAACAAAGACCTCCTAGTGTCAATTGAAGCAGGCCGAATACACTTGTCAATTACAAGGGGTAATGGAGTGGTGCAGTCAGTGCTATAAATCTCATGATTGAAGAAAACCTATTAAAGCATTCAAGACAAATTAGCAGAGAAAAGGATTGAAGAAAACCTATTAAAGCATTAAAGACAAATTAGAAAGTTGATAAGTATATATAAAGAAGCAAAAAATTGTGGAGAAAAGAGGACTTAAAATCTACACCTTTATAATTCCTATTGTTGCTGCTGCATTCCATTGTGTGATGAAGTTTTAGAGTTTTGGATTTGGCAAAGAAGAGTAACCTACAAATGGACAAAGTCACAAAACAATGAAACATACATGATTAAATTTCTCAAATCTGTGTAAATTAAATCACATCATTCAAGTTCAACCACGGTGCTCCTAAAGAGAGGAGAACACAAACTTTAAAATCATACTGATCATACTGGTGTTTTTATCTTTTGCTAAATATTCAAGCCAGCTATTGTTTGGAGATAGCAGCAAATTAGCATTTTTTCTCTTAGTTTAATTGATTTGACTTTAATTTTTCTAGCCCATAATATTATTGAACACATTTATATGTGTATGTATATGTTGTTAAACAATGGTCTTTTCTTTCTAATGATGTGCTCCATATAAGATTCAATCAACTAATGATCCCTGAAGGCATAATTTCTTGCATAGCATATGATTCAATTAAATAATGATCCGATTTAGGGCATCAATGATTTCCTGATATATGCTTTTAGGAGTTTCTTTTCCTAGGGTTGGGAGCTTCTCCCTCTATCTAGCACTCTAGGTGGTGGTAGCTTCAACTATCAATTCATACATGTCCAATAAGTTAAATAACAGAAAGTATAGTCGCCAATTGAAAATTTTAAAAGTCCTTAAGTTGCATAACAAAAACAAAACATAACAAATCATAGCAAATCATAGCCAAACTCCTAAATCGAAAAAAAAAATTTCATAAACCCTAGCCTAATGGTAACCATAAATATAGAAATTAAATTAGGGCTGGAATCATGAACATCCAATCTAAAACATGAACAAATTTCACAAACCCTAATCTAAATTAATTTCAAAATTTACCCGATTTGGAGGAGAATTGGTGCACAGTGCACTGGATGAAGAAGATACTCGGACTTTGAGTGTTTGATAGAGAGAATCACGAGATAAAGAGCGGTGGCCGTGGCTCTATGTGGTGAAGGAAGGCTCAACAATGAGGGATGAGAAGTCAAGAGAGAGATCAGAGAGGTCAGTCGAGGGAGAGGTGAGTTACTTGTGTGATGTGGCTAGATTCGAAGGCGGCAAATAAGAAGGAGGAGATAGATCGAGAGAAATCAGTGAGGATGAGAGAGCACGGTGAGGTGAGGTCAAGAGAGAGAGTGACTGAGTGAGGGTTTTATTTGGAGTCAACGGTTAAAATTAAATCTCAACCAAATCCAACGGCTGTTACAATTCCAAATATATATTTAAAATTAAATAATATACATATATATATTTTTTATTTTGGTTCAGTTCGGGATTACCGAATGAATGAAAATGTGAGACCGATTCCCGTATCGAAATTTCAGGATCGGTTCGGAATTGTGCACTGAAATTTTTCAAGATTTTCAGTTTGGGATTTTTTCGGTTTGGTTTGGAATTTTCAGTATTTTTTTCCACCCCTAGTTTCAAGTATTAGCATCTGGTCGACAGAAGATGCAACATAGATGTAGTAAACATGATGAAGGAATTTTGGAGGATGATATGTGCAGCTGAGCTAAGAAGCATGGAATCAATACGTCAAAGCACTGTTGACTTTCATTTGCTGACTTTCCAGAAACCGTATCGTCTACTTCCCCATCTGCAAAAGAGAGTTCAGGTACTTTGTTAGGTATTTTAATATTATGCCCAGAAATGAATTCATCCGTTCTTTTGGTACCCGATCTTCTAAGCTGACGTAGCAGAGAATGTAAACGTATTGCAAACTATTTTTCAAGTGTATTAGCCATTCTTTCCTGAGGGTGTTTGTGAATTGTTGTTAGAATATAGAAAAAATAGCTTCTTATAGCTTAAGTTTTTGGAAACACTGGTCAAGGATATGCTTAGGCGTATTCTTTAACTATATTCTTCTCTTTTGATCTGGTAAATTCTTATGCGACTCATTATATCGAACAAAATATTTAGCATTCACATTTGCCTTAGGTCACAAGTGGGTGGATACTTTGATGATCCATTATTTTATCTGATCGTGATCGCGACAGAATTCGTTTGCAGTGCAAGTGTTTTTTTCGTTGTTCAGGGACGCGCCAGTCGAACACAAAGACAAGGAGTGCTGGATGACAGTGGGAGTGTGAATAACATTACTCTTGAACCAAAACCTCACAGTTTTTCTACACCTGGTTGGAAGTAATTTAAAGAAACAGTTCTGTTTAGAAGCGTTTCTATTAGAAACACATTGAGATTTTTAATGAAAATGCAAGCGCTTCATGAAAGAAACACTTGAAGTGCTTCTTGAAAAAGCACATAGCAGATGATTGTTTCATAACGCTCTTCAAGTGCTTATTTGAACCAATAAGAACTTTTTTTTTTCTTCCAAACATGGTTAGGAACACTCTTGGTGATCTGAAAGGGATTTTAGTGATTTGAAAACTAAAAATTAAATTCTTTAGGTCAAATAGTTTAAGAAAACTAAATATTACCTCTTTTTCTATATCAAAAGAAGAATATGTGACTAGTATCATGGTACCAAAAAAAATATAAATTCGTCCTTTATATTTATGGAGCATAAGAATATATGACTAGAATTCTGGTCCAGAAACAAAGAGGCCAATGTTTGCGTGATTCCTTACTACATAAGAAAGTTGACCATTTGTCTTTAAGTTACGATATACATTCTCATTTAGCAGAGTTAGTTGGTATTCCTCTTCACGTGTAAGTTGTAGGTTTTAGATTTGACTCTTGTTGTTAGTGAGTGTGATAACAAATTATTCTGATTGATCCATTGTTCGACTTAGCTCGAATCCCCACCCTCTAGTGAAGTGTATCTTTATATTATTTTTTACAAGATATAGTTGTTAACATGTATTCAGCTGCAGTTACGAGCAATTCAATTAAATTTATTTATCTTTATTAAAAGGAAAGTGATTTAGGCCACTTCTTTTCTCCCCTTGTTTATTAAAGGACAAAAAATAAATAACATCATGTAGAATGAAAAGAATGGTGAATGAGAGTCATCTCTTAATTAAGATTCGAGGTAAGGCCAATATGAAGGAAGAACCTATGCTTGGAGGACACGGAGGCGAAACTCAAACTACTGATGCACTGCCATATACTTTACCTTGCCACATAATAGTGCATAATTTGTTTGGAATACTGCCATAGTGCTGATCCATTTGTAGGGTAAGGCTTCTCCACCCAACATTATGCAGATCCTTAACAATCCATGTTTCCCAAATAAGACGGGATTTTGATTAAAACACTACCCATAGAAAGGTAATTCAGCTTTACCAATTTCTGAATAAGTTAGAGAGAGATTGTGCTATAGTTAGGAACTAATCTTTGTGGAATAGATAGAAATAGAGAGAAACCCTAAATATAAGATGGAGTGTGAGAAAGGTGAAGTTTCAATTTCCATAATTGGGCTTAAAGAGCGACCAAGGAGACAGCTCTTTAAAGCTAGGATTTGATTAGGGAGAGATTCTCTCATTAACTAGTTCATCACATGCCAATCGTCTATACTGCATATTTTGAACAAGTAAAAAGCTTTAATCGGACACCGCCCGCTAGAATTAGACATGCTAAAAAAGAAAGTCAACCCTAAGTTTGTTTAGTTTCTACCGTTGGTTGGGAGAAAGAGTATTACTGATGACAAACCCAACGTTTGGAATTCTAGTTTCTAACGTAGGTTGGGAAAAGGACTATAGTGACTATTAGTAAAGCCAAACCCAAGAAACATGGGAGAAAGTCCAAGGGTGTAGAATTAAGAACTTAAAATCCCAAATTTTCTCATAAGTCGATATTCGTAATTTTATGATTCCTACCATCCTAGCTAAGGTTCTAAAAGGCGCTCGTTAGACGACGAGTAAGGGCCTAGCGACTATGCAGTTTTTTAAATTTTAATTAAATTTATCATATAACATATTTATTTATAATAAAAGAATATATAATTGTATTGAGATACATAAATTCAAAATAGAATGACATATAGATTATAAAGTATTATGACATATTGAAAATATGGAGAACAAACATATAATAAGTGTCCAACCAAGTGTTCAACAAGTCTCTTACAATTTGTTAAAAAATAAAATGCAAAATAAAAGTTATATATTTTCTGTCTAAATGAGAGTTGCTACCTAGGTGGATGCCTAGATAGGTTTAGGGGTCATTTCTTAATTTTTAAACGTCTAAGGATTAATCGGGACGATGACAAGCCGCTTAGTGCCTAGGTGTAAATTTTTATAACAATGATCCTAAATCTTAGTCAAGCTGTAATTCAATAGTTATAATTTTTTTACTTTGAATCCCTCTTTGCTGGAGATATAAAGAAGACAAACAGGATCGTGGAACTTATTCCTTATAAAGTGTTGACTGATATTGACTCAAGTGAATGCCACATAATCTGCCACATAATCTGCCATGTCATCAATATTTCTGTTGAAAGTTAGTTAGGATGGTTATGTGTAGCTTACACAGTAAGCAAGGTTAGGCTACTAGAGTGATATAAAAGGCTGATTGCAGCTTAATGTTTGTAAGAAATAATCATTCTATCAATACAAAACCTTTCATATTCTTTCTAGTTTTATTTCTAAGTTTTCTTCTACATTCTCTGTATTGCTTCTTTCTTCTTCTTTCTGCGATTCTGATCTTCTTTGTTAAGATAAAGACATTGCACATTGACATCTTAGAAATCTGAAATCTTAGTTTCTACCAAAGCCTTGAAACTTGACTATTACCATTTCATTAGCTGTACACTACATGCTAAAAGCAAACACATATTACCGGCAAAACTGTTTGGGGTCGAATCTAGCTAAGCTAGCACATCATTTCATTCAGTTTTACTTTTGAACTTGGAGGCTCACAACACTTCGGATAATGGTTCCGGCCACCAGGATGGGCTGGACCTATGCCGTGTGGTGCCTGAGGCTACAAGCAGCGTTTCGAACCATCTTAGCCTGCACCATAGTCTACACCACCACCCTCTACGGTCCACAGCCTCTCAGGCGTTTAGTAGCCTACCCTGCATACTCTTACCTCACCACAATCCTCATCGTCTCAGACGCGACGCTGGGGGAGGCACTGAGAGGCTTCTGGCATGCGCTTTACGCTTGTATTCAGGTGTTGATCCTTTCAATCCTGAGCCTCCAGCTAATAGGGCCAGCGCACTTCAGTTACTTTGTATCATCCCTTGCAGTGGCTTTGTGCGCTTTTGTTGTGGCACTGCCGGGAGCAACCCACTTGATGTCTAAGCGGATTGCGTTCGGGCAGATTGTGATTGTGTATGTAGGCACTGCCATTCATTGCGCAGAAGTTGATGAGTTGGTACTTATGCACCCGATTCAGGTGTCATTGAGTACTATGCTTGGAGCCTCGGCATCTGTTGGGGCTATGTTGTTTCCCAACTTGTTTCTCTATCAAAAGGCATCTCTGGCGGCTGTGTTGTCTCCTTACCTTGCCTACGACGAGGTATATATACATCTAGCTATATATGTATACATTTATAACATGTGTTGTTTGTCTTCCATATGTCTGCATCATTTTGTATGGATCCTAAAATTCTTGTAAACGATGGTGAGAAGTTTTCACAGTTTTTGTCGACAAAGTTTTCACAGTTCAAACTTCATGATGATTCACGAAGGTTAGGCATTCTTGAGGTAAGAAAATGATAAGATAAAAACTTTTAACATAACTTCTGAATGAACTGAGTTAAAATTTAGTTAAAAATTGGAAAGTTAAAGTGAAAATAATATTTTCCTCAAAAAAAAAAAAAAAAAAGCGAAAATAATATTATGGGGGTCGGGCAGTGATCGCCTAATCCTCTATTTTGATTAAAAAAAAAATTGAAAATACACCCAAAAAAGAAGGGTCAGTGGAGGAATAGATCCTAATATTCTTTGCACTGTTGCCTGAGAATCAATCTATTCTATATTCCTTCATGGCTTCATCTTCAACTTCACATCCACCGCGTAATTCCATTCTTTTTCTAGCAACTTACACCGTCCAAATTCGAGATTTCAACAACATTAGTTTTACTAAAATTTCAATAAGAGTTGAAATCAGTATATGATGTTTGCGAAGAATAAATACGCAAGTTGTTTTATTTCTTGTCACGCCCCAAAATCCCGAGCATGTCATGATGAGCCTAACGGCAATGCTTGTAACTATTAAGGAGAATGAAGGACCACCAGATTGTAATGCACACAATGCACTAGATTAGTACTTAGCTTAGCTATTAAGCTAAGTTTGATATAGTCGGTTATGTATTGCTGACTAGGATATAATTATTGATGTATATATCCTAGTGTAATGAGAATCATTTTTCTTACAACCCAAATCAAGCTTTCTCTCTCTCTCTCATCAACTGCACAGATTCATAACTTCATCATGGTATCTTCGCCGGAGTCCACCGACGTCGATCCTTCGCTTCCCTCCTTTTCTTAATTTCTTGGATTTTTTTTTTCTTATCTCCCAAACAGATCTTACCTCCTTCTCGTATTTTTTTTTTATATTTTCTGATCTCCCAAACAGATCTTCTCTCTCTCGTGCATTCTGTCTGCAACCGCTATGGCGCCTCATCCATCCTCCTCTGATTCCTCTCCTCCAGCTACCTCTTCTGGTCCTACTCCTCTTGGTGAGATCTCTACTAATGTGCCTCCATCGATTGCGACGATTACTGTTCACATTGCTGGAATGGTTCCGACGAAACTCAATCGGCACAATTTCATCACCTGGCGTAGCTTATTCCTTCATGTTCTGAAGCGATTCAAGCTTTTAGGGCTTCTTACTGGAGATGATCCTTGTCCTCCTCCGTGTGTTCGTGATTCGTCTGGATCTCAGATTCCTAACTCTGCGTACGAACTGTGGTGTGAACGTGACCAAATCTTGACGATTTGGATCAACTCCACTCTTGCTGAAGATCTTCTTCCTCTGACCATTGGAATGGAAGATTCTCGTTCTCTGTGGCAGTCTCTTGAACGTCGTTTCGCAGGCGCTTCGCGTACTCATGTTCATAGTCTCCGATCTAAAATCCAGACTATTCAGAAAGGTGATGCTTCCATGACTGAGTATCTCAACACTATTAAGGACATCTCTGATAAGCTTGCTGCTGCTGGTGAATCGATTTCTGATTCAGATCTTGTGGCTTATATTCTCGCTGGTCTCCCAGATGAGTATGAATCGTTTGTTGACTCAATCGAGACAAGAACTGAGTCTGTTAATGGTGATGAACTCCATGGTCTTCTACTTAGTAAGGAGATTTCCCTTCAAAAACGCAAGACTCGACAAGGTTCTACATCCTCAAGTTCTGCACCCTTCCATGCTTATACTGCTCAACAAGGCTCGTCTGGTTCTCCTTCTTTCAGAGGCAACTTCAGAGGCAAATATCAGAATTAGAATCGCAATCAATACCACAATCGTAATCGCTTTCCTCAGAATCGCAACTTTGGTGCTAATCGCCAACATAATTTCTCTGGAGGTATTCTTGGTCCTGCTCCCTCTCGTTCCTCATTTTCTGGTGCACACTCTGGTCCTATTCCTGGACCATCCCAACCTGGACAATCCATTCCTTGTCAGCTTTGTAATCAATATGGTCACTCTGCTCTCTATTGTGGCTATCTCTCCCAATTTGGTTCTCACCGTTCCCCTCCCATGGGTTTCAATGCTCTGACTGGATCCCATCCTCCAAGCTACTGGATTACTGACAGTGGAGCGACTCATCATGTCACTCCTGATCCAGCCTCGCTAAACTCTGCCACACCATACACAGGCACTGAACAACTTTTCGTGGGTGATGGCAAAGGTTTGTGTATTTCTCAAACTGGAAATGCTTTAATACGCACTCCTAATGCTGTGTTCAAACTTCATGATGTGTTATTAGTTCCTCAAGCCTCTCATAATCTCCTGTCCGTTTATAAATTTGTGTATGACAACTGTTGCTCGCTGACTTTTGATCCCTTTGGATTATACATCAAGGATCTAAGAACTGGGAGGATGCTTTTCCAGGGCCCCAGTGAAGGAGGATTGTACCCTTTCTACTGGCATGCTACTGGTGTTTCTGGCATTGCTATTTCACCTCATGCTCTAATGATTGCTAAAGCTGATATCACTACATGGCACAGACGGCTTGGTTATCCTTCAAGTCTAGTTTTCAATAAAATAGTAAATAAAGGTCACTTGTCTGTTGCTGGTTCACATTCTCAGAAGTCTGTTTGTTCTGATTGTCAATTTGGGAAGGCTTCAAGATTGCCATTTTCTGTTTTACCTTGTAGATCTACTCGGCCATTTCATCTTGTTCATGCTGATGTATGGGGTCCTTCCCCCACCTCTTCTTGTACTGGATATCGCTATTATCTAATACTAGTTGATGATTTCACTAAATATAGCTGGCTCTATCCACTGCATTATAAATCCGATGTGTGTTCTGTTATTCAGACTTTTGTTCTCAAAGTTCCAACTCTTTTCGACAGCAAAGTTCAATGTTTGCGATCTGATTCAGGGGGTGAGTTCTTAAGTGCTACTTTGCAAAGCTTCTTTAATCTTCAAGGCATAACTCATCAATTGAGTTGTCCTCACACTCCTGAGCAGAATGGATGTGCAGAACGCAAACATAGACATGTGGTTGAAATGGGTCGAACTTTATTATCTCACAGTGGCTTACCTTCTCAGTACTGGATTGAGGCTTTTCAAACTGCAGTATATCTCATCAATCGCCTTCCTCCTCAGGCTTCTTCTATCAGTCCTTGGGAATTACTCTTCAAAGCTCCACCTCCATATCATCTCTTGAAGACTTTTGGGTGTGCATGCTATCCCTGGCTCCAACCTTACTCATCCAGTAAGTTAGATCCAAAGAGTAAACTTTGTGTGTTCTTGGGATACAGCTTGAATCACAGCGGTTACCGTTGTCTTGATTCGGTTACTAACAAGTTATACATTTCGAGACATGTGGTGTTTGATGAAACTCTTTTCCCTTTCAAGCACTCTCTCCCTTTACCTTCTCCTACTGTATCCTCTCCTTCTATTTCTTCTCCTTCATTATCTCACCCTATTTCTCTTACTATACCTATTCATCCTACTCCAACCCCTCCTGCCATTCTACAAAATCCCTCATCTTCACCTTCCTCCTCATCAGTACCCCTCCCTCCTCCCTCTTCTTCTTCTTCTGTCCCCCCTCCTACAACTATCCCAACCAACCACCATCCTATGATTACCCGAGCCAAAGCCGGTATTTCTAAGCCTAAGATCTTTACAGCCACTAAGCATCATCTCTCCCCTTCCGTTGATCCACTCACCATCATTCCTCCGACCCCTACTACTTATCTTCAAGCCTCCAAGCATCCTGCTTGGGTAAAAGCCATGACAGATGAATATCAAGCACTTCAATCCACTGGTACTTGGGAATTAGTATCTTCTCATCCAAGTTACAATTTAGTTGGGTGTAAATGGGTATTCAAAATTAAGCACAAAGCTGATGGTTCAATAGAACGATACAAGGCTCGGTTGGTAGCTAAAGGGTTTCATCAACAAGAAGGCCTCGATTTTTCTGAAACTTTTAGCCCTGTAGCAAAGCCGACCACCATCAGAATACTTTTGTCTCTTGCTGTGAGCTATGATTGGTTTGTACATCAGTTAGATGTCAGTAATGCTTTTCTGCATGGCTATCTCAAAGAAGATGTGTATATGGTTCAACCTCCTGGTTTTGTGGATCAGTCTAAGCCTCACCATGTTTGTAAACTCAAACGGTCTCTCTATGGACTCAAATAAGCTCCCCGAGCTTGGTATGAAGCCTTCTACAGTGCACTGGTTTCGTTGGGTTTCTCTTCTTCTTCCTCGGACACTAGTCTCTTCATCAAGAAAGACTCTTTCATCACCTTCATCTTAGTGTATGTGGATGATATCATTATCACTGGAAGTTCCCCTGCCCTCTGTCAGTCCATTATTTCCCAGCTTCAATCCTTATTTCCAGTCAAAGACTTATGTGATATTCATTATTTTCTCGGCATTGAGGTTCACCGATCTGCAAAAGGATTGTTTCTTCATCAGTCCAAATATGCCTTGGACTTATTTAAGAAGACGGATATGCTTGGGGTCAAACCCTGCACCACTCCCGTTAGTTCCATAAAGTTGGATCACTCTGGTTCTCCTCTCACAGATCCTACTTCTTATCGCTCCACCGTTGGTGCCCTTCAATATCTTACTTGGACACGACCGGATTTGGCTTTTGCAGTCAACCAGGTTTGTCAGTACATGCATACTCCCCGGACTATTCATTTGTAGGCTGTCAAACGGATTCTCCGGTACTTGAAGGGTACCCTTGACTCCGGGTTGTGGTTTACCAAAGGTCGGCAAATTCTTACAGCATGGACTGATGCTGATTGGGCAGGTTGCCCTGTGGACAGACATTCTACTAGTGGATACTGTGTGTTTCTTGGACCCAATCTCATCTCCTGGAGTGCCAAGAAACAATGTACAGTAGCTCGTTCTTCTACTGAAGCTGAGTATCGCTCTCTTGCTCATACTGCTGCCGAACTCAGTTGGGTTTGCAAAATTCTGGTTGACATTTCCTTTCCTCTTCTGAAAACCCCGAGTGTTTTCTGTGATAACAAGAGTGCCATTGCTCTAGCTTTCAACCCAGTATTTCATGCCCGTACTAAACATGTAGAGATCGATTATCACTACATCCGCAAAAAGGTTCTTCTGGGACATATCAGTGTTCATCATGTGGCTTCCTTACTCCAACTCGCTGATATCTTTACCAAATCCCTCCCTGCTGATCGATTTGCACAGCTTCGGTTCAAGCTTTCAGTTCGCCCTTCTTCCTTCTGCTTGAGGGGGTGTATTAAGGAGAATGAAGGACCACCAGATTGTAATGCACACAATGCACTAGATTAGTACTTAGCTTAGCTATTAAGCTAAGTTTGATATAGTCGGTTATGTATTGCTGACTAGGATATAATTATTGATGTATATATCCTAGTGTAATGAGAATCATTTTTCTTACAACCCAAATCAAGCTTTCTCTCTCTCTCTCATCAACTGCACAGATTCATAACTTCATCAGTAACATTTACAGGTGAGACAAATGTGCCAAAAATATGCCAAGAATGCTAGGAAAAGGTTCGACTTGTATTTAGATGCAATCTTGTCTCGGGACAGCTCTGCTGCACTTGACTTTATTTTACAGGCCAAGCCCTTGGCTGAAGCAGGAGAAAAGCTCCTTCGAAGGATCGAACATAAACAGGTAAAGCTACCTTCTGTACAAGAGTTTGGATCCTCTGCTCGGGTTTTCGCAGCTTACATTGTGATTTTAACCAATGTGGTTTACTTTGGACAGGAAGCCTTACTGTGGGAGAGACCAACAATCAGAAGTATCCTCAACCGTAGTCGCTTCTCTGTTCGAGAAAAATTGCAGGAAGTTGAAATACCCTTGAGAGGGATTGCAATAGCTGCAACTTCATGCCCTTCCTTTCCTGTTGCCATGATTAAGAAACTGCAAATGGACGCTTTACACGACATGAAAAGGCAAATACATGACAAGCTTGAGCAACTCGAGCGCTTTGCACCTTTCTACACAAGAAACAAAAGGGAAAGATCTTTGGATGAGGCCTTCTGGTCCCTTGAAACCATATTTCCTGAAGATTTATTGGTTTTTTTTTTCATTGATTGTCTGAAAATTCTCCAAGAAAATACCGAGGCTGTTGAAGAATGCAAGCATGAGTGCTCCCGCATCGAAAGCTCAAGAGGTTCACAAAATCAAAGCAACTGTTGTACCAAATGGAGCAGTAGACTTCTGTGCCTTATACCAAGCAGAACAAGTCTACGATTTGCACTTAAGTGTTCACTTTCATTAGGCCTTGCAGTGCAGCTGGGTTTGCTGTTTAACAAGAGAGAAGCATATTGGGCAGGACTCACAATTGCAATAAGTTTTGTAAGGGGAAGACAAGCAACATTCACTCTCGCAAATGCTCGAGCGCAATCTACGGCAATGGGGTCAATTTACGGGATCTTGTGTTGCTTCATATTCAAGAAAGTCGAGGACTTGAGGTTCTTACCTCTTCTACCTTGGTTAGTTTTCACAAGCTTTCTGTGGCACAGCAGGATGTATGGTCAAGCTGGCGGAATATCAGCAGCTGTAGGGGCACTACTAATACTCGGCAGGAAACATTATGGCCCTCCACTCGATTTTGCGATTGCTAGAATCACAGAGGCTGTCATTGGATTGATCAGTTTCATCACCATAGAGATTCTCACATCCCCTGCAAGAGCAGCAACTCTGGCAAAACTCAAACTTTTACTTGGACTGGGATCCCTTCAAGAATGCATCAAAGATTTAGTTCTTTTCGAAAACCAAATCACTTTAGTTGGTCCCAAGTTGAGACAGAAACAGTACAAGTTGAAATCTCATGTCAACAAGTTAGAGAAGTTCATTGAAGAAGCTCAGCTGGAGCCTAATTTCTGGTTCATCCCTTTCAATGGTGCCTGTTATGGCAAGCTCCTGAGATCTTTATCTAACACGGGGAATCTTTCGATTATCATGTCCAACATAATAGAATCTCTATCACTCGTATTACAGCGCTTCAAACCTGATTCGGAAGAACTCCAAAAGCCCATGAAGGGCATCGAGAAAGATTTGGAGATTTTCAAGAAAAAAATTGGGAATTCTCTGCAATGCCTCCAAGAGCTGGCTTCCAAGAAGTCTCTTGCAGTTCATGACAAACATGACATTGAGTCGGGAACATTATCAGCAAGAGAAAATGGTTCCAGGGTTTTGGATTCAGAGAAGGAAGAGACTGAATGCATTGTAGATTCTTTTCTTCAAAATTCCAATGAATTATCCGACAAAATTGGCACCATGACTGGATTAATAGAGGATCATCAGAAGCTTAGAGTGCAAGTAACTGTTTGTTTGGGTGGATTAGGGTTTTGCATCAGCAGTCTGCTGAGGGAAGTAAAAGAGATGGAAAGAGAGTTTCAAGAACTTATCAAATTGGAAGACCCTTCAAGCCATGTAATAGTATGAATACACACATACTTTAATATGCTAAAACCTTTGACTTCCTACTAAGTTTAATTATTAGTTAGAGGTTTTTAATTATTTAATTACAGAAAGGATCTTGCTTCCAACTTCTAATATATATGCTTTCCCACTAAGATCAAAGTTCAGCAAATTTAAATGCCATGAACAATTGTAGATATGGGCGTAGTTTAGTTGGCTCGTGCAACTTGTTTTTCTTTAGTTGGCTCGTGCGACGTGTTTCTCTTTCTCCATCTACGATCAGTAGTTTAGATGAGATTAGTTTTCATTGCTATGAATGACTGTATCATTAGTTTTTCGTTGTACAATGTACCCATTTGCTAGAAGATCACTTTAGTTACGTTTTTATCCATCTTTTATGAGGATCATGGATAGCTTACACATACTTTCATGGGCACTATGAATATGGGTATATTTTGTTTGGTTGATTTGAGAATGTATTCATGTGAGGTTTATTTGGTGAATGTACCCATGTTATTTGGATTTTTTTTATTAGAGAATGTATGCTATAAAGGATATGTATGATGGAGTAAAGACTGCCGTAAGAACTCATGAAGGACAAACCGAAAGTTTCCCCATAACTGTTGGGTTGCATCAAGGCTCATCCTTAGGTCCTTACCTTTTTACATTGGTAATGGATGAGTTAATGAGACATATTCAAGATGATATTCCTTGGTGTATGCTTTTCGTAGATGATATAGTGTTGATAGATGAAACTCAGGAAGGGGTAAATGCGAAGCTTAACCTTTGGAGAGAAGTGTTGGAATCTAAAGGTCTTCGCCTAAATCGATCAAAGACAGAATATATGGAGTGCAAGTTTGGTGCAAATGGAGGCCAAAATGAGTTAGGGGTGAGAAGCGGAGATCAGGAAGTACCAAAGAGCGACCGCTTTCGCTACCAAGGATATATCTTGCAAAAGAACAGAGAATTAGATGGAGACCTCAACCATAGAATACAAGCTGGATAGATGAAGTGGAAGAGTGCATCCGGCGTGTTGTGTGGTCGTCGTATGCCACTGAAGCTCAAGGGAAAATTTTATAAGACGGCAATAAGGTCGGCGATGCTGTATGGCACGAAATGTTGGACGGTGAAGCATCAACACGTACATAAAATGGGTGTAGCAGAGATGAGGATGCTTCATTGGATGTGTGGGCACACAAGAAATGATAAGTTTAGGAATGAAGATATTCGAGGTAAAGTAGGAGTAGCCGAAACTGAAGGAAAGATGAGAGAAAATCGGTTACGGTGGTTTGGACATGTGCAAAGAAGGCCTACTGACGCTCCAGTTAGAAGATGCGACTACGAGACAGAGGTCCAGGGCCGAAGGGGTAGAGGAAGACCTAAGAAAACTTTGGAAGAGACTCTAAGAAAAGACTTAGAGTACTTGGATCTAACAGAGGACATGACACAGAACAGAGCGCAATGACGTTCTAGGATTCATATAGTCAACCCCACTTAGTGGGAAAATGCTTTGTTGTTGTTGTTGTTGTAGAAAATGTACGCAGTTTTGTTGTAATCTACCAATGTTTTGCAGTACATTTTGTCATCGTTGATTTGATGAATGTATACATCATTAAATATGTATACACTATTTTTCTTATTATATGTGCGCAAACTTTTTATATGGCAAACCATGGTTTTGTAAAAAAAAAAACACACACACACACACACACACACACACACATATATATATATATATGTTTTGTTTTTCAAATCACTATGAGTCTTATCTAAAATTCTATATAAATAGCTAACTGCAAATTATAAAATTTTAAATTAAAAAAATGGGGTACTTTGATCTAGGTCAAACAATTTGATTTATTATTGAATTTAGTCAAGTGTATTCTTTTTACTCCAATTATTATTTTTAATTAAACTTATTGATTTATGCATCTTTATCCATATTTTCAATTTGAATTTTGTTTTGAGTACATCGATATTTTTACATTAAGAGGAGGGGGAATTCGGCTAAGCCACACAATAGGCAGCCTAATTTGGTATCGAATTCGCCATTCACGAGATTCAAACCTAAGATCTCTCACTTCTAAGTGAAGAGGAAGACCGTAATATTGAGTGGCTTCAATTTGAATATTTAAATGTGAAGATTTAATCTTTTTTTTTAAAAGATATGTAAAAGAAAATTTATATGTCATCATAAATGATATCTACACCATAGGTTGTTTGAATACATTTGATATGTGATGGAGGTAGTGTGACAACCCGTCCCTAATTTAACGTTTTTTTTATTAATTTTAAAAGTATGAATTGACGAAAATGCCCTAGAGACAAGGAACTTTGATTTCAGTTGACCATTGTCTAGAGAAGCATATGTCTTATTCTTTTATCGTATTTGTGTAGTACTCGTTGGTACGAACGCACAGGCAAAAGCCGTTTGCAAGTCCGGATTATAACAGTATAGTTACGAAAGTTTGAAATTGTTTATTTAAATTTTATATTAGAAATTAATTAAACTCCCACGTTGTAGGAATGAGGCCCAATCGGGTTTGTGTTATTGTGGCCAATTAGAAATAAAGGTTGGAGTGGGAGGACCAATTAGGAGAGGAGGGAGAAACTGATTTCCTTCTCTTTTTTTTGTCGACCCATGCACCACGACCGGCTTCGACCCGGTTCAAACTCGGCGAATTCCACCATTTTTCTGCCAAACCACCACCATCCAACACCTGAAATCTCCTCTTTTACAACCTCCCATCTACCATCTTCACCCAAATTTGAAGGTTTTTAGGTCCAAAACTGTGTAGAACCTCACCGGAGGTGCTCAACGGTGATTCCTCCGATCCGACGAGTTTCACCACTTGTTGAAGAAGATCGAGCTTAGAATGGAATGTTGACTTTGTAAATAATTCTTTTCCTTATTTTTGAATATTTTAGCTTGATTGTAGGAACCATATTAGGCATTATTGTAACTATAAGTAGGCTGTTCTGCCTCTTGAATCAATATCAAATCAATTACATATCATTCTTTTACATGGTACTAGAGCATTGATCTGGGCAATAAACCAAACACACCAAAACCCTAGCCGACCTCTATGGCAGAAGACAAACCATCAGGCACGGCCTCAGGAACCCAGTGGGATAATCCCACTCATCAACTATATCTTCATCATTCAGACCAACCCGGTGCTATTCTTGTGCCACAACCTTTGGTCGAAGACAATTACAGCACATGGAAACAATCCATGACTATGGCCTTAACGGTCAAGAACAAAATCGGACTCGTAGACCGTTCGATCGAAGAACCGAGTGGAAAGAATCTCCACGAATGGCAGCAGTGGAATCGCTGCAATAATCTAGTCCAGACTTGGCTGCTAGGGTCGATGTCGAAAGACATCGCTAGCAGCGTGATCAATTGCAAAAACGCCAGGCAGATGTGGCTGGAACTGCAGGAGCGATTCTCGCATGTGAACGTGGTTTAACTGTTCAATATCGAGAACGAGATTCATGATTGTGTGCAATGAGGTATGTCTGTGGGATCTTACTTCACGAAGTTGAAGGGACTCTGGGATGCCCGTGACGCTCTATGCACTTTCCTGATCTGCACCTGTGGCTCAGTCAAGGAACTGGTTGCATATTTGGACACACAGAAGACTATGAAATTCCTCATGGGCCTCAATGACTCATATGCAAGTGTTCGCAACAACACCTTGCTGCAAGATCCTTTACCCACAGTGAACAAGGCATACTCCCTTGTTCTGTGGCATGAGAAGCAATCGGAAGTAACAGCAGGAAAAGCTTCGACACAACCGGATGCGGCTGTGTTTGCCGTGAAGAATGCCAACCGTGAATCCGAAGGAGAAAAAGGTGAGTTGAAGTGCAACAAGACAAACCACACTGCCAAAAATTGTCAGGCACACCTCAAATGTGCATTCTGTGGCTGGAAAGGTCACACGGCAGAATACTGCCGTAAGAAGAAGGCGGCGGCTGAGGCTAACTTTGGGGCAGTGCTTTCCAAAGGGAATCAAGCAGCGACGTGTTTGACAGAAAGGAAGGAGATGAAGTTCCCGTTTACTGCTGAAGAGTGCAAACAAATCTTGAGTATGCTGCAAAATAAATCCTCATCTGCCAATCATGTTAGTAATCCTGCAACCCATGAAGAACTCTCAGGTAAAGCTTTTTCACTCAACTCTCATGGCAAACAAAGCATTTGGATTTTAGACAGTGGCTGCACAGATCATATGATTTATGATCCCGACATGTTCTCCACCTCGAGGCCTGTCACTAATCACACAGTGGAATTGTCGAATGGATCCGTAGCACAAGTGACTCACATTGGCAAAGTTGTCTTGTCCCCCAATTTGATTCTTGAGAACGTTTTATGTGTCCCGTACTTTAAGTTGAATTTGGTTTCAATTAGCAAGTTAGCCAATTCATCTTGTATTACAATTTTTCTGAATCAATTTTGTATCATACAGGACCTACGTTCGGGGACGATGATTGGGACGGGAATTAAACGGGAGGGCCTCTACTATCTCGATCATACTAAGAAAGGAACATGCAATCAGGCACACAAAACCCATCCCATCCTTTGGCACCAACGCCTTGGTCACCCATCTACCAGAGTTCTTTCGTTGTTTCCTTGTGCTATTTCTAAACATGCATCTTGTGATACCGACAAGTGCACAATTTGCCCCTTGGCTAAACAAACCAAGCTTCCCTTTTCTTCCAGTTTAATTACTACTCATTCTAGTTTTGATTTAATTCATATAGACATATGGGGTGGTTATAAAATTGCTTCCACTTCGGGTGCAAAATATTTTCTTACTATTGTTGATGATTACACTAGATGCACATGGATTTACCTTATGAAACACAAGTCTGATGCTCGATCTCTTCTAGTTAACTTCATCAATATGGTTGACACTCAATTTGATTCCAAAATTAAAATCATCCGTAGTGATAATGGCCCTGAATTCAAACTTGACAATTTCTATGCAGATAAAGGTATCATGCATCAAACTAGTTGTATCAACACACCACAGCAAAATGGGGTTGTTGAAAGAAAACATAGACACTTGTTAAATATGGCACGTGCCTTGCTTATTCAGGCCGGGCTTCCAACTCATTTTTGGGGGGATGCCATTCTCACATCCGCTTATCT